TTAATGAGATCCGTTTGATGTATACAATATCAAACAAAAATTTTCTCAAGTGTAATTTTTTCAAAATAGTATATCATCATTATTAAATTATTACAATATTATAATAAATATATCATTAGTAATCAATCAATACAAATACATAATACGTAGTATAATTCATGAACCAATAATTAGTAATCATTTTTACATTATCCATTAATCATTTGTAAATCAACACAAAATCATTATTCAATCACAACACAAATATCAACACGGAAAAGCGACTTTGACTTTTAGAAAGGAGTGTTATGCTTTTGGATAACAAAAGCAAACTGAAATACATTATTCCTTTTTTTGCCTCAATTCAAATTTTGTTCCCAATTAGAATCCATTTTAAATTTTGTTCAGTATCGGAGAAAGCACCCTAAGACCATCTCCAACCAATCGCACCAAATTATACACCAAAATGAATATTCCCAGCATATTCTTACACCAAATTTTTTTCATCTCCAACCCATTACACCAAATTCTGCACCAAATTTTATTCCTCACCCCTCATAAAGTTTATATTTATACTTTTATTCTTTTAACAAAACTAATAGTTGTAATTTAATAAATTAGACTTTAATTATATTTTATGTAATTATATATTTAATTAAATTATATTTAATATTAGTTTTGTTTTAATCGTCTTGATAAGATCTTTCAAATGATATAATTTTATTTCAATAATATACAATTTATGTTTAATATTTTTAAAGTAGTTTTAATTAAACTTTATGTGTTTACTTTAAATTAAGTATGTAATTTGCTTTAATTTTGTTATAATTAAGCTTTATGTGTTTTCATTTTTAATTAACCTATATTCAATATTAGACTTGTTTTAATCGTCTTGATGAGATCTTTCAAATGATATAATTTATTTTTAATAATATAAAATTTATAATTAAAAATTTAACAAAATATACAAATATATCAAAACAAAAACAAAACAAAAAAAAAAGAATTAAAAAAAGGAGGGGTCAAAATGGGAAAAAAAAAAGAAGAAGAGAGATTTGGTGCAAGGTTAACCGTGCTGCGCCATATTTGGCGCAGCACTGTTCACTCTGCGCCAAAATTTTGATGTTTCGGCGACTTGATTGGAGGCCACAAACTCGAGTCATTACCCCGAGGAGGAACCATTTTCATATTGGATTCCAAATAGGAACAGATTTTGAATTTAGGCAAAACAAGGAATAAAGCATAAAAAGGATTTTTGTTTGCCGTTTTATTGTTTAAAGCATAAAAAGAATTTTTGTATGCCTTTTTATTGTTTAAATCATAAAAAGAATTTTTGTTTGCCTTTTTATTGTTTAAAGCATAAAAAGGATTTTTGTTTGTCTTTTTATTGTTGATTAATATTTGTGATTAATAATGATTTTGTGTTGATTTACCAATGATTAATGAATAATGTAACAATGATTACTAATTATTGATTTATGAAAAATTACAGCTGAAGATTTTTTTTATTCATTATTCATACATCGAAATTATCTCATTAACTCAGTTAAGCGGTGAATTTCGACGTACTCATTGTCATAAATACGATATGGGAATGACCACGGATAAATCTTCTCAACATTACACCACTGTATTATTTCTTTTTGGTAGACGAATTGTCTTTTCAAAATTGATTCAAAAATTTAATAAATCGTGGTGTCGATTTTCGAAGATTTAACAAATTTGTAGTGTATATATAGTGTATCCAAAGATTTATCGAATATAAAGATGTGTTCAAAGGTTTTGTGAGAAAAGCTGACCCATAACACAATTAGACAAGACTAAAGCTTCCCTACTCGCAGGCTGCAAGATTCCATACTCTGCACACACGGTTTTGAATTCAATTTTCAATGTTCAACATAACAAGTCATTTGAAATGCCTTGTTATACCTTGAAAATAAAAGATAACAAGTCGTTTAAAATGCCTTGTTACATAACTTTCATATATTTTTTTTTGTTTTTCTTTTTATTTTTCAATCGAATGTTTTAATTTTTTTCAGGTTCTGAATTAATGAAATAACATTACGAAGTATTGATTTTAAAAAATTGTCAATTATTTCATTCAAAATTCGTGTTTTTTATATGAAAGTTAAGAAAAAGAAAGTTGAAATATAATTTTTTTTTTTTGATAATATTTATGTAAAATCTGTTACAAAATAATGTATACAAAATTAGATACTATTGGTTATACAAAGTTGGACATTCTAAGGAAGTATGTGTTCGAGCTTGACAGTATTTACATCTCCCTGTCGTCCTAGTAGAAGTTCCAAAGTCCATTTCATTTGGAAAGCGACGTGTTTGTCGTTGTCCTGGATGAGTAGGATGCCTCGCAGAAAGTGGTGGAAGACATGCCAAAGGAATTGTCCACTGGATATTTGTGTCTAGTGCAAAGAAATTACCTTCATAGCACCTTTTGTAATTATCGATAGAGTACACATTAGACATGAACGAGTCATAGTGTTCCCTACGATACTTATACACTGCAATGACATGTGGACATGGTAATCTATCACTCTTCCACCTTCCGCATTTACACGTACGGTTCTGTAAGTGAACTTCGACATTTGGTGCTGAACCTTGGGAGATGTTTCCTGTGGCAAGAGCAACGACGTACAAACCAATGGTGTCATTAAATGTTTGAACGGTTGCATTGTTCGCCTGTTGTTCTCTACTTTGTAGCTTGTTGCCAATAATCGGTGCCCAGCGCAAACCAACATCTTGCATCCTTTGGCCTGCGGTACGTCTGTCAGCAAACATAGCGACTAACTTGTTGAAAGTAAGCGTTGCTATTGCCGTCACTGGTAGCATTCGACAACCCTTTAAAGAACCATTAAAGGATTCAGATGCATTTGTTGTCATTACGTCAAACCGGTGACCACCATCGTGAGACAATGTCCACGCTTCGGGCTGGATTTCAGACAAATAATGGTACGCGTCTGACCAGTGATGGTGTATGTTTTGCATTGATGAACGGAATCTCCTTTTGCTAACGGCAGTACCAACTTCCCACACACGGTCTTTTAAACGAGAATTTTTTAACCTGGTCATCACATTACTTCTAATGTGTCTAAAACAGAAGCGACGCTTCACCCGAGAACTTCGTAATTGAGGCAAGGAATTTAGAAATCCTTGTTATGTAAATACATAAAAAAAGATTTCAAAAATCCTTTTTATGTTTGACATGTACTTTATAAGCAAAGTTACTAATGTCAATATTCTAAAATCTACATCTAATTTATATGCGAAGCAAATATTGTCAGGATTCAAAAATTTACATGTAATTTATAAGCCAAGAAATCTACATATAATTTATAAGTCAAGCAAATATTGTCCGGATTCTAAAATGTACATCTAATTTTTTGTCTGGATTCTAAAATCTAATTAAGTACATAACAAGGAATTTAGAAATCCTTGTTATGTAAATACATAAAAAGGATTTCCAAAATCCTTTTTATGTACTACATCTAATTTCTCAAGTGTCATGAGTAAGTCAGCGCCTTCTACGGTACCGTTTATCTTTTTATGTACAACATATCACTTCACAACTGACAGTCATGTGCTACAAGAGAAATAACTATTACACTTATTTTAAATAGTGTGCACGATACGCCTTATGTTGTATAATCATTTCACACTGCGTAGTCTATAAATAGACTGTAACCTTACTCATTTCACCATTTCTCAAGCCGTGTAGAATAATCAAGATTATGACCTCTTAGTCAGAGTTTCTCGTTATGATGTCATAAGAAGACCTGAACGCGATTCAAGAATGATGGAGTATTTGCGACAGTCGGGTTTCTATGGTGTTTCTCACCTTACAGATATTTCGGTTGACCATGCAAAGGGGAGAGCACTACAATCAAGGTGGTAACCAAGATCAACAAAACCAACAGATGCCCCGTCGAACAACAAGAGTGAGCCGGCCAACCAGGTGTGGAACTGGTTCACGACATGAAACACACAGGTATTAATACATATATGCAATTTAACTTAGTTAAATTTGTAGTGAATTTTTTGACTTTTAACATAAAGTCTTTCACTTGCAGGGACCATTAAATATCATGGATGAATAAATCATAATTCAAGCATGTATTAATGACTGAGTTAGTGAGATCAATTTGATGTATACAATACCATAAATTATTTTTACAGATGTAATTTTTTCAAAATAGTACATCATCATTATTAAATGATTATATTATTATAATAAATATATCATTACTAATCAATCAATATAATTACATAATATAATTCATAAACCAATAATTAGTAATCATTGTTACATTATCCATTAATCATTTGGAAATCAACACAAAATCATTATTAATCAAAACACAAACATCCACACGGAAAATTACTTTGGCTTTTTTAAATAATAACAAAGCAAACAAAAATTCTTTTTATAGTTTTAGATAACAAGGCAAACAAAAATCCTTTTTTTTGGTTATTCATTCTTTTGCCACATTTCAAAAACTGGTACGATTTGGAATCCATTTCAAATTGTTGTCACCATCGGAGAAATCACTCCTTTTTTCTTTTGTGTTTTAGTGCTTTGGCGCCTGGGTGATTTTGCCGGTGAGGAAGGTTATAAACATGGGATCCCTGACAAGGAAATGTCTTGCATGGGTTACGAAAGAGGGAAACTGTCTTTCCTATAGGCGAGATTGGGCTTTTCATATCTCGCTTAAGGGAAAGTTGATATAACATTTCTATTTCTCAAATACGATGCACCATCGTATTTACCTATAAACGTCGTATTTACTTATAAACCAGCGTATTTATAGTTGTAAATTAACGTATTTACGTTTGAACGATCGTATTACAATTTTGTTAGATAAATAAATCCAAAATAAACGCTAAATAAATTAAGGTGTCCGAGTATTTTGGTTATTTTATGTTAATTAGTAAAAGGACGAATAAATAATTGATCCAAACTCCTAAAATAATTTAGCTATTGTGAATGATGTTGTTAAACTAAAATATATTGCAATAGAGAAATTATTTATCAATATCTAAACATGAAAATAATAATTGACTATTCAAGCTAGAATAAAATTTACAGCCATTGATGCGGGGTATGCATATAAGATATAAAATCTTCGTCGTCGTCTATTGGCTGCATTGGTTGTCCCATGTTCAAACCACCTGAGCAGATGATTCCCCAACTTCACCAAACTGAGTTGGGTGGTATGCAGATGTGTTATAGCCGTATGGTGGGTGATATTGGGCTTGGGGTAACTAGAAGAGGAAGGTTGGGTGGGGTCAAAAATTTGGCCAAACGATCCCTGCGACTGGTGAGGGAATTGAGCGGTTTGATCAAATGAAGTGTATCCTCCGTTTGAAACGCGCCGCTACCATCGTACAATTGTCCCGGGACAATTGTAAGTGCAAGTGCATCCACATTGCCCCCTACAACATTGTCCGCCGCAGCCGGATGTTGCATTCCAGGTGCCGGAGCATCCATGCCCTCATCTACCCTAACACGCCTACGCCTCCCGCCCTGTTGCGGTTGAACACGCAAATGGTCTCGCTCACGTCGTCGATCTCGGCGACCTGGACCAACAGGTGCGTCCACTGGCTCAACATTGTACATTTCATTTGGGAAGTCCAGTAGAAAATCGTACCCGGCTTGTTCAACATGCGCAGGCAAGGTCACACGGTATTCCCGCCACTAGTCCGATTGACGCTGCGGATCATCTCCAGCCTCTTCCATACCCAAGTTCATTTGGCTCAGAGAATGCATCTACATGAAATATAACGATTATTCATGTTCAGTTATAATAAATTAAGTAATATAATAAAATTAAGTAACAAATTTTACCGTGTCATTTAATGACGCCGCAGTTTGGATGTAACCCTGATCTTGGCGGTGTTCTGGGTTACCAATGATGCGACGACCATGCGCGTGGAACCATAACCTGTATTCGCGCGTTGCATTTGGGTTGTCCATCACGAGCATTGCGAATACATATTCGTGGCAATGGTTCCACCTACGGGAATTTCTGATTTCATTACTGCAAATTCGTTACGAATAGGGGACATGGTGCTATTTAGACATATTGGTTTCTTTACTTTTGAAACCTTTTGTTATACTTTTGAGGGAATGTTGAAAAGGTACCCTTATTTTCAACCAAATGCGTACCACATTCCTTGTCGAACATATCGACCAGGTAAATCTTTAATTAAATGAACATCCACCATTTTTGTTACATGTTCCACAAAATAATATCTTTTTTTTTTCACCTTAGACCGAATACGTGTAAAGGCCAAATCTGCATTGTCCCCAGCATATTCAATTCAGGTAGAACGACACCGTTCTTTGTATACGGATTTCTCCAAACCTAGAGCGGTAAGAAATAATCTACGATGATAACATTCTAATTCATTTCTAACTACTATTTACTAATTCTTTTATTTGTTTCGTCACTATAGAAAACTCGATTGTCTGCATTCCTCAGAGATACCGACGAGTTCGTAGACGCTCCGCTTCAAATAGTTTGTGGATCATGAAAGCTAGACCTATATTTTGACACATCTTTAACTTTTTTCACAGAACAGTGGGAAGAAATAACAACACATTTTAATATTAATACAACGGAGGACGATGTCGTTTTATTCAGTTTGGAGGACAACGTTGTACTCCTGTTGGTGATTGGTTCATGTCATGTTGAAAATATTTATCCATGGTCGGTTAAATATTTCATTAATGACAATGTGTATGGTGAACTTTACACTTTAGACGTATAATAATAATAGTGTTACCCGTTTCAATGATTTTATTACATTGTACCTATGTTTCACTTTTACTAATCATTCATTTTTGTATTATTATCTACTCATAAATATTATACTTTAATTCACGACAGTATTATATTATCTACTCATAAATTTTAAACTTTAATTCACAACAGTATTATACAAACTTTATACGGTATATAACAGCATTATACGCTAATCTGAATGTCACCAAACATAAATCCAAATTTCCAAAAGATAAATGTCGCCCATCTAAAAGGCACTTTCCCTGATTGGTATCCCACTTTAGAGATTTCCCTATTTCGAATCCCACACTAATTTTTTTGCCCGATCAGTTAATGATTCGTGGCGCCTCATTGGAGATGGTCAAGTTATCAAAAGATTCTGAATAATCTTTTAAATTTATAATATCAAAATTCTTCTCTTTATTATCCATAAACGTATAAATTTTTTTTTTTTGAAAACATAAACGTTTAATTAGTTAAGATTCGGACAAAACAATATGCAAAGTATCCTATTTAAGTCAATTTCTCATAGTTGGACACTCAAGTATAAGATCATAATTATTAGTTAAGTGATTTTGCATTAAATAACACTAATGCATAATAATATTTTAAAATTTAATGAGCTTATCAAAAAAATTGTTATATTTACATATATAAATAAAAAAACAATATAAATAAATTATATAAATATATAAATTACCTTAAATTATACAAAGAAATCGCGATCGTGAATACTGATTCTAGCTTCCAAAATCTTTTAAGTTTAACCACATCCTTAAAACTGAAGAAATATTTACAAGAACCTGTATTCAAAGAAAATCACGACAAATTTTAGATATCCAGAGAAAAAGATGAAAATGAAGAAGATCGAGAAAATGTAGAGATAGAGAAGATATAAGGTAAAGTCTTACCCATTTTTAGTGGCATTGGATAAGTTCAAAGACTAGAGATTGAGTTCGAGTGTGGAAATAATGAGAGGTGAGGCGAGTGTTTAAAGTTGGGAGAAACTGAGAATTTAAGAAAGAGAGTTGAAGCTGGTAGACGCCACTTTTTGAGAGAGAGAGTGGGAGAGTATGGAAATCTTTGTTTATGGGGTTTTGTGTGCTGTGTGCTGTGTAACTGAGTTGGGACTTGGGAGTAAATGGCAGTAGGTGGGAAATGAATGAAGATTTCAATTTTCAACAGCTATGGCATTGAATGGGTAAGGTCCGGGATTCAGAGAATAAGTGTGAGAGATAGAGAGTAGAGGAAGGTAGAGCATTATATTGAAGAGGAGAAACTTATTAATGTTGAAGGATGAATGAAGAAAACTTGTGACCTTGAAGGAGAAGCTATTTGTTCATCTTTTCAAACAAATTAAAATCATCTACTCATTCTTATTGGCGTGCCTAATTAAAGTCACGGGTTGAACTGCAAAAAGTTGTCCAGTACAGTTAATAAAGTTATGGAGTTAAAAAATGGGATGATTTATGGGCCTGGTGATTGTTCATATACAAAGATATAAACTGCTTTGAAATCTTCAATCTGACACATTCACGTGCCCCTCTTTCTTTGTTTTAAAGGCTTCACTTCTTTATGTATTTGATTTGACTTATCCAAGCAGCCCATACAGTCGAATACGACAAATTATGCTGTTATAATAATATTATTATTATAATTATTAAACCAAGTTTAGTTAGTTTGTTAAAAAAAAAATAAGTGGAGTAGTGAGTCATGCATGGCTTCACTACGTGAAGCGTGGCCTTAATTATAGCCGCACATATAGCATCAATTCAGCATTATTACTATTATTCATTTAGTATAAATAGCTTGTTTCTCTTCATTCATTAATCATCAATTTGTCTTATCATTGTTCAAGGCAATAAACATTCTTACTTCTTATATTTCTCTCTTTCTCTATATTATAGATATATTACTCTGAAGCAGTTAAGCATACTCTCCTTGCTTGCTTTAATTCTGAAGTTTGTGATGATAATTGGTTATGGCATATGCGGTTTGGGCATTTTCATTTTTCTGGATTACACTATCTTGTGAGAAAGGAACTTGTTTCTGATTTACCTGTTGTGAATGTCCCTGATCGTATATGTGAGATTTGTGTGATTGGGAAGAAGCATAGAGATCCCTTCCCTGTGGGCAAGTCAAGGAGAGCGACAAAACAGTTGGAGATTGTTCATTCAGACCTATGTTCGTTGGAGGTTCCCTCACATGGAGGTTGTAAGTACTTTATTACTTTCATTGATGATTTCAGTAGAAAAACATGGGTTTACTTTCTGAAGCAAAAGTCTGAAGCATGTGATGTTTTCAAACAATTTAAGGCTTTTGTTGAAAAGCAGAGTGGTTATGAAATTAAAATCTTGAGAACGGATAGAGGTACAGAATATACTGCCTGTGATAATTTTCTGAAAGAGAAGGGCATTCAGCACCAGATGACAGCCAGATACACTCCACAACAAAATGGAGTGGCTGAGAGGAAGAATAGGTCAATCATGGATATGGTGAGGTGCATGTTGAAATCTAAGGATCTGCCTAAGCCTTTTTGGGCAGAAGCTGTTGCTTGTGCTGTCTATGTGTTGAATAGGTGTCCAACTAAAAGTGTCCGTGATAAGACACCCGAAGAAGCCTGGAGTGGGAGAAAACCCTCTATCAAATATCTCAAAGTTTTTGGATGTTTGGCATATGCACATGTGCCAGATCCGTTGAGAAAGAAGTTGGATGATAAAGGTGAGAAGTGCATATTCATTGGTTATAGTGACACTTCAAAGGCTTATAAACTCTACAATCCTGAAACTAAAAAGGTTGTTATAAGTCGTGATGTCACTTTTGATGAATATGGTGCCTGGGATTGGTTAGCTAAAGATGAAAGTTCAGTTGTTATTCCTGTTGTTGAAAATATTGTTGATGAGCAACCGATTCTAGATAATGTCCAGTCTCCTTCACAGCCAGAGTCGTCAGTTCGGCGATCTCAGCGCGAGCGCCACTTGCCAGCTCGCTTGCAAGATTATGTTTTGGGTCATGATAATGACCTGTCTGATGAAGAGATTATTCAATTTGCTCTCTTTGCAGATTGTGATCCTTTAACTTTTGAGGAGGCTGCTACAGAAACTCATTGGCTTAAGGCGATGGATGAGGAGATACGTGCCATTGAAAATAATGGTACCTGGGAGTTAACAGATTTACCTCCTGGAAAGAAGCCGATTGGAGTAAAGTGGGTTTACAGAACGAAGTACAAATCAAATGGAGAAATTGACCGTTTTAAGGCACGGTTGGTAGCAAAGGGTTACAAGCAGAAACCAGGTATTGATTATTTTGAGGTTTTTGCTCCTGTAAGTAGACTTGATACAGTTCGAATGGTTATTTCTCTTGCTGCTCAAAATGATTGGAAATTGCATCAAATGGATGTCAAGTCTGCTTTTCTGAATGGTTTTCTTGAAGAAGAAATATATGTTGAGCAACCTGCAGGATTTCTGAAGAAAGGGGAGGAAAATAAAGTATACAGGTTGAGAAAAGCTTTGTATGGCTTAAAGCAAGCGCCTAGGGCGTGGTATGGTTGCATTGACTCATATTTTGTTGAAAGTGGTTTTATGAGATGTCCTCATGAACACACTTTGTATGTCAAATGCACGGATTCTGGTGATATTGTTTTAATCTGTCTGTATGTTGATGATCTGGTTTTTTACTGGAAACAACTTGAAGTTAATCTCAGAATTCAGGGAGGCACTCATTAAGAGGTTTGAAATGACCGATATGGGCCTTATGTCTTACTTTCTTGGCCTTGAGGTTATTCAGATGGATGGTGGAATCTTTATTTCACAGAAGAAGTATGCTGCTGATATTTTGAAAAAGTTCAAAATGGAAAACTCCAAACCAGTTTCGACTCCGTTAGCTGAAAAGTTAAAGGTGTCCAAAGATGAGTGTGGTAAGAATGTGAATGTTACAGCTTATAAAAGTTTAATTGGAAGTCTGAGGTATCTGGTGGCAACAAGGCCAGATATTTCTTTTGGAGTTGGGATACTTAGCAGATTCATGGAGGAGCCAAAAGAATCACATTGGGCTGCAGCAAAGCGAATTCTGAGATATGTCAAAGGTACGAGTAATGATGGAATTTTTTACTCTACTAATGAAGTTGTGGAACTTGTTGGGTACACAGACAGTGATTGGGCTGGAGATGTTGAGACTAGAAGAAGCACGTCAGGGTATGCCTTCTATCTTGGTTCGACCATATTTTCTTGGTCGTCAAAGAAGCAACAGATTGTAGCACTTTCAACCGCAGAAGCAGAATATATTGCAGCAGCAAACTGTGCTACTCAAGCAGTTTGGCTGAGGAGAATTTTGGAATTCTTACAACACGAGCAGGAAGCACCTACAACTATTTTTTGTGACAACAAATCAGCAATTTCGTTGTCCAAAAATCCAGTCTTTCATGGTCGCAGCAAACACATTGATATCAAGTATCACAAAATCAGAGAGTTGGTTGTTGAAAAACAAATCAACATTGAGTATTGTTCAAGTGAATGTCAAGTTGCAGATATCTTTACGAAGCCGCTGAAGACAGAGACATTTCTCAAGTTGAAGAAGAAAATTGGGATGACCAATATATCCAACTTGGTTTAAAGGAGGCAATGTTATAATAATATTATTATTATAATTATTAAACCAAGTTTAGTTAGTTTGTTAAAAAAAATAAGTGGAGTAGTGGGTCATGCATGGCTTCACTACGTGAAGCGTGGCCTTAATTATAGCCGCACATATAGCATCAATTCAGCATTATTACTATTCTTCATTTAGTATAAATAGCTTGTTTCTCTTCATTCATTAATCATCAATTTGTCTTATCATTGTTCAAGGCAATAAACATTCTTACTTCTTATATTTCTCTCTTTCTCTATATTATAGATATATTACTATTTAATATATCTTACATATGCTGTGCATGGTGTACATGTGAGATCTCAATATGATCTAATTATATACAGAATAATCTACGAGATATTTAACTCGTAGTAGCGGAAGCGGAAGCACTGTAGATCTCCAGCCATAATTGATATCAGGGTTGTAAAAATCCCGCCTAGGCACCGAGTAATCGGCGCCTAGGCGCTAGGCGCCCATAGGCCGTGGCGATTTCCGCCCTAGGCTCCCGCCCAGGAGACCGGCCGCCTAGGCGCCCGCCTAGCGCCTAATTCAGCCGCCCGCCTAGCGCCTAATTCAGCCGCCTAACGCCTAACTCGTCCGATTACGCCGAGTTAACTCGTCAATTTCTATCGAGTTAGTCGAGTTAACCCGACCGACTCGACCTTGCTAATTTTGTCCATTTATATGACATATACATATAATATGACATATATACACTCGTAGACTAGTTTGATACTTTCAATCTTTGGATGATTGAAGTATTTGGGTATTTCATTTGAGTTTTTTTTTTTTTTTTTAATATTCTTTTGATGTTATGACTTATGAATTGTCATTATGTCATTTATTTGAATGTGTTATTTGATTGAATGTTGAAAACAGCCTCATTAAAATTGTCAAATTGCAAGTCTGCTACTGTTTTTTTCGCGACTGCCTAGCGCCGCCTAGATTCCGCCTAGGCGCCGACTAGGCCGCTTAGGCGCTAGGCGCTGCCCGAGCGCCCGACTAGCGCCCAGCGCCTACTGCAACCATGATTGATATCATGTTGTATTGCCTCTTGAACGGTAGATCTGCAGAATAGGGTTAGCCGTTTTGTCTCATACTTGACTCAGAACCCTAGATGGTGTATTGGTATTTTCTGAGCAGTATTAATACCATATAATATTCATGTATCTTGTATCCCATCAATACAAGCTTTATATAGGCACATTGGTGGAATAAGACTTAAACCTAAATGTCCAGTCCAACCAATTACTTAATGGGCTCAGTCCACTTGCACCACATAAGTAAGACCCATAATATATAATATATATTATACAGGAAAGTCTTACAGTCTCTCACTTGGTGCAAGTACTAGCACAATTCGCATTAAAGAACAAAACACATAAATCATAGTAATATATCCTCTACTGAATAAGTGAGTAATATCTCCTATGATCACATGTATTTTGATTCCCCAACTTGAATCATTTATCAACAAACCCAATGTTTATTCTTGGTCACTTAAGGGATGTTTCTCAAAATAAAATATATATGCGCAACTTAATAGAGAAAACCATTCAAATTGTACAAAAGAGTACAATGTATGATCTCTAAGATCCTTAAAAGCATGCCTTAAGTAGAGATCTCATAATGTTAGCATAATGCTAACTATATATTCCATGACTTCTTTATAAGTTAACTTTAAGCATTATCTCTAATGGCTAAGAGTTTGGAGTTGACACGTCTGTCACTCCCACT